GTCCGACAGGATGCCTTGCAAGAGGAAGGAACGGGTGGGTCAGACTGGCCAAGGGAGGCATGCTGGGGAAGCAGCCTCCATGAGGAGAAGCAGCCCTGAATGTAGGGCTGTATGAGGCAGGGGACTCCACCTGCCTGCTTGGACACAGATGATCCCCCCAAGACCTCCCCAGGGAAGGGGGGACTTGCACAGGGCTTTGGGATTCGGAGGTTTGTTGTGTCCTGTCGGGTCTGGGCTCTTCGTGCTCTGCCTGTTAATTAGAAGAGAGCCACAGGGTGGGAGGCTGGGCAAAGTGTGCGCATGTTAAACAGCTGCCATGGGCCTCCTGAGAGAGCTAAGCTGTATCCAGGAGGCTCCCACCTTGGGCTGGGTCTTGGGACAGAGCAGACTGACGGGTCCGTGCTGTACAGGCCATAGTTGAATTGCGGCCTGAGTAACTGTGGTTGGCCAAATGTCCACGTTAGCGTTACTGAGACATGCTTGAAGTAGCTTTTTGGGATGCAGGGCAAAAGGTTATTAGGCTGAGGTCACTGACCCCACCTTTTCACGTACACACCCAGTGTCAGTAACTCACTGTCATGAAGATGTGCTGAAATGACCAATCGTGTAATGCTGATGGGCATTCAGGACATACAGAACATTAAGACACTTATGTCCGGTTTAAGCAGAAGTGTGTTACCAAGTCCTCCTCATGTGGGCCGCTCACATGTCCTGCTTACAAAGAAAATGTCTCTGTGTGATCACCAAAGGGTTTTGCACAAAAATGTCCCTCTCAGACTGGAATCTTCTACTATGACCTCAGATTGAAATTCCAATTTATTGGTGCAAATGGGCTTGAGTCAACTTGCTGGAATCGCCAGTATTGCCAACCCCAAAACTCATGAGCCAGGCTCACCAAAAATCATGAGATTGTTTTTACATAATCTCATGATTTTAAAGCCAATCAATTTGGGGTTCTTTTTATTTGCCTTCTGTTTTCGGGTGCACGGGGGGCACATTTTGAAGCTTTTGATACAGCCATGAGGGCTAGAAACGTATTTTTCTTTAAGAATGAAGGTGAAGTCATCACATCGCCACTTGACTTCAGGAGCTGGGGCTTTAAGGAAAACAATAATTATCATGAGACTCAAGGCAAAATCATGAGTTGGCAACACTGAATCTCTAATTGGACCAGAGTGGTCCCTAAGGTGGAGCAAGGGAACAGAGATGCCCACAAAAGGTGTTAACCTTGTGGAAAGAAAGCGGGGGCTCCCTCACACCAGTGACACCTGAAGCCCTTCCCTGAACTAACCATCCAGAGAAGACGTGAAGAAATCTGACCATCAGCTAAACGCAGCCTGAAGCTACAACTAAGGGCAGGTCTGCACTTAAAATGCTGCATCGGCGCAGTTGCACCAATGCAGCTGCTCTACTGCAGCATTATAATGAAGACGGTCCTGCGCCGACCGGAGAGAGCTCCCCCGTCAGCGTTGTTAATCACCTCCCCGAGAGGCAGTACCTATGTTGACGGGTCTTGCTGACATAGCGCTGTCTAGACGGGGGTTAGGTTGGTGTAACTATGTCACTCAGGAGTGCGGAGTTTTCAGTAGTTATACCGATCTAGGTCTGCAGTGTAGACCAGAATTAAGGCTATGTCTATTCTTAAGACACAAGAGCAACATAGCTGTGCCACTGCTCCGCTTCAGTGTAGACGCTACCTATGCCGACGGGAGGGGTTCTCCCATTGGCATAGGTAATCCAGCTCCCTGAGAGGCAGTAGCCAGGTGGATGGAAGAATTCTCCTGTTGATCTAGGGCGGTCTAAACTGGGGGTGAGAGTGGCTTCACTATGCTGCTCAGGAGTTTGGTTTTTTCACACCCCTCAGCAGTACAGCTGGGTTGACCTACCGTTTTAGAGTAGACCAGGCCT